GTTCTTAAACAGTAATTTTTAAAATCAACCCCTCTTTGTGAAAAATGCTGCAAACTTAAAAAGAAGTTTCTTTTCCTTCTCCTCCAAGAGAGAATAATAAGGGCCTGATCCAAAGCCAGGGAAGTCAGAGGGCAGCTTCTCATTGTCTTCAGTGGGTTAGGACTAGACCTTTCCCTAGAATACTTCTCAGAACTATGATTATACTCTCATATAAAATGCACAGCTTAAAACCAGCACCCTTTCCACAAAGAGTGGGAACACACAGATAAATCACAGCCCCACAACACAGGCAGCAGCCCTCAGAGAACGCAGAAGTTAAGAAATAACAGCCCTGAGCTCTTTGGTGTTAGTTTCTTCCAGCTCCTTTAAAAAGAAAAAAAAAAAACAAATCCACAACTGGCTTTTATTCATAGGATAAGCAGGGGTAAGCCGCATTATTAAAAATAACAATAATAGCAATAATAATGTCCACAACCTATTCTGTACATGAAATAGCAACTGGCCTAGACAAGGAAAGCAACTGATGAAAGGAAAGCATGAAGAGGGTGATGGAGGCAGGTGGTCTACAGCCATAACTCCTGTGCTTTTGGCACAGACAACCCATGAGCAAGGGCAAAACCTGAAAAGAAAGAGAGAAAGAGGAGACAGAGAAAGTCAACAGCCAGCAATTCCAATATCTGCAGGTATAAAACTCCAAGCCTTTTTTCCAAGGATGGCAAGTGAGAAGACTATAGCTAAGTAAGCATCCCAATTACATTATTGTTCTGAAAGCTTTCCAGGTTGTTATACAGTAAAGGAAAATAAAAGAGGAGGAAGGTTTGCCCAGCACTGCTCACGTGAGTCAGCCTTCAGCAATCATTCTCATATTTAGGAACACATTCTTTATATATATATATTTATATATCTACATACACTTAGAAATGTGTATATATGTATAAAAATATATGTACATATATAAAAGGAATATATATATTTATATAAAGGGAATGTATGTATTTTTATATAAAATATATATATAAATATATATCTATAAAAAACAGCGAGGGGGAGAAAAGCTATAATAAAAAGAGGCCTTTAATTAAATAAGATTGCCACTCTGGGATCAGGTCTTCATGCTTGTCAGCTTACTCTCAAAATAAACATCTCAACCCGGGGCCTCAGTGGTGTCACTTACCCCGGCAAGGCACGCCGGGTAATCCCTCGCTATCTTGACAGCTACATAATGTTCAAACTGTTTCACGGGTGAACGGCGGCACTTGCGCGAAAGAAAATATTAATGCCGGGAATTAATAGAAAAAGGGATGATGGTTTACAAAAGCCAAACAAGGAAAAGGTGTCAAGTTAGTGCCGGCGTTAATTGTTAGGGAAAATAATTGCGGAGGGGCACGGGGGTCGGCGGCGCTCGCCTGTCTGGCTGTCAGAGGGGTAACATCTCAACTAGGCAGGCCGGGGAGAAGGGCCAGCAGCGCGGGATCGTACAGATGACGGGCTGACACCTCCGTGATGGCAAACAGAGGGACCTCCATCTCCGCGGCGGGAGCCGGGGCTCGGCGGTGCTTGGTCAGGTGGACCTGGCTGGCCAGGAGAGAAACGATGGGGCTGAATGTGCCCCACGAGGCCTTCAAGGCTTCCCCCAGGTTGCTCCTGGGATGCTGATGAAGCTCCTGTAGCTCCCTGGATCAGCACTCCCACTTCTGTTCTTCTTTAAGATGCCTCAGATTGCATCCAGGTCATCAAAACAGATTAAAAAGGAGACAGGGAATGAGAAATAAGCCAGGTGGACAAGCCTCACCTGATATATGAACAGCATAGACTGAAAAATATTCACTGCATTTGAATTCAAGGCTAGAAGGCTTCTGGACTCAAGACTGAAAAGACATCTGCATCTATTAAAAGCTGTTTATTAGAGATGATCTACAATCTAGCCAAAAGAACATAACTTTTCAAAAAAGATCCTAGTGATTTTAGAGGTCTGAAAAAGGGTATCTCTTAAAATTTTCATTTAGACATGACATGCACCCAATAATTTTCTTAAGAAGCCAGGCCATTTAAAAAAAAAAAAAAATACAGCTTTTAAGCAGCCATTTTCTAGTGAAGGCAACACAGTCAACTTTTAAGCACGTGCACCCAAGCCATTCTGCAATGCAATGTCTGAACGTGTTCACCTCAGTCACATCAGCTGTAGCCACGTGTCAACGGGGTAATGCGAGGAGACTGATTATTCTTGAAATCAGTTGAGAATTTAGCCCAAGAAAAACACTTTTCTGGTGGGAAAAGCAAGATGTGATGCTCTGAGGTTATTTAAAATGTTATGCAATGACAAGACGGTTCCCACCCGTAAAATGGATAAAATATATAAACCGAACAGGATTATCTGATTCTCAGCCTAATACAAACCCAGTAAGAATAAAAAGAAAGGACAGCCTCTAAAAAAATCACTCCATCAGCTGGACCTGCTTTCCCATTAGATAAAGAACACACATCTCAACAGTGATGCTCCCTTGAATTTATTTGCATAATATCTATTTTACTTCTATTTTCTTCCACTAACACTAAAAAGCAACGAGTGGAGGCAAACCAAACATCAGCTAAAATCCGAGCAAGCTACAGTGGGCAAAAGTTGCTGGGACACAGCAGCAGGACAGGGTTTAGCAGCCCAAGAAACTGTTAATGGTGTTTTTAAACGGATACTGCTGCCCTCTAGCAGCTACCGAGCGCTGTACCACACCAACTGTGGCTCATACTCATACACACTGCTTCATAATTCGGAAAAAAAAAAACCAAAAAAACACCACCCCAAAACCAGAAGACCTGATATAATTTCAAGCCACACACTCTTTTACAGGAGTAAACTTACTGGAAACATAGCATATGAAACAAGTCTCCTTACATAAATAAATAAAAATTACCACCAAGTCGCCTTAAAATCCTGGAGGGTGGGAATCAAAGAACAGTGTGCAATATAACCTAGACCATCTTACGTTTTGGTTGAAAACCTAAATTTTAATCTGAAGAAGGAAATTAAGGATTTATATTATATGCATGTAAAGAATAAATCCTTAAAATCTTCCTAGAAATAGAATCACTGGCGTTATTTACAACAAGGAATAAAAGACATTTTAAAATAGAACACACACTTTTCATTTGAAGTTGAAAACCACTATATTCTTCTAGTGAAATAGCTGAGATCAAGGCTTAACTGCGAAATCAGAAAAAAACGTATTCTGCTGGCAGGAAATTCAGGTAATTTTGAAAGTTTTGTGCCCAGCTAGTTTTACGTGGCCAGATGGAAGTGAAACATTGCTTGGAAACCAGCATCACCAATAGGTTCCAAGGGAAAATGAACCAGCAAACAAGTAAAAAAAAAAAAAGCCCCACAAACCAAAAAAACCCACCGCAACAGAAACCAATAAACCAAAAACACCAGAGAAGTGTGAAGAATGCATACAAACCCCCGGC